TATTAGGATTATCAATAAAAGTACAATTACATGAAACATAACAATCTATGAGACTATACAGTACTGATAATAATGTCTACAACTGTTTTGAAAAGATAACCTAAGGATCTACAAAAGTTATAACTTACAAATAAATACTATATGGAAAGTTATTAAAATACCATTAAAAGTGTGAAAAAATAAATTTTAAAATAAATGTTAGCAATTATTGTGAAATATCATTCATTTATAAAACATATCAATTCCTAAAGTCATTAAAAAGCCATTCGATGGCAACAATGCATTGAAAACGTTGCAGTAATTGCTTACAGATTATGCTTCCATTCATTCAGATATTTTCGAGTGTTTTGATAACATTAAGCACTTCTCGTACTTTCCAAACGCTAAACCAAATCACAATTTATTTGCATTTTATTGTTTTTTATAAATCATTTGAACACAAATGGAAGCAAATAATAAGCAATTGAAAAGCAATTGAAAAGCCACTGATTCTTACAAATACGTCAAACACCAACATTTTGACGACTTTGTCATTACTTTCTTTTATCTTATACAATGACTCAGGACTTAGTTTCTGTATATAATTAAACGCTATTTAAGATGACTTTTGGCTAATTTTCTATTGAGAGAGAGAGAAAGAGAGAGAGAGAGAGAGAGAGAGAGAGAGAGCACGAGTGACAGTACCTCCAAGTGTTCATTTTCGGCGGCATCGTTGAGTGCACTTTTGCCAAACTTGTCCAAGGTGATCCTTCCGCCGTGCTTTAAGAGCCACCGAAGGGTCTCCACGTGTCCTCTGCTGGCGGCAAAGTGGACAGCAGTGGCGCCGTCGTTGTCCCGAAGGTTTGGATCAATTCCTTGCTCTTCGATCTGAAAAGAGTTTGAAACGTGAAAAGCCACTCCGGAAGCAATTTGATGGCATCCATACCATCCATTTAAGGCACTTAATGGCGCCCATCTGTGCGGCCGCGTGTATGGGAGACATGCCATCCTTGGCTCTGATATGAAGGGAACCGCCGGCAGAGAGGACCAGGTATTTGAGCACTTCTGCGTGACTTTCTTGAGCGGCCAGATATACAGGCGTCACGTTATTCTCCATCTGTGCGTTGGCACTGGTTTTCACATCAATTCATATTTAAATCAAATGTTTGTATAATAATCACAATTAAAATTACAGCAAATTTAACGCTCAATACAAGACTTAAACGAAATATGAAAAGCTGTCAAAAGCATAATAACTAATAATTATTCAAATGCTCAAAAAGCTGAACAGAATTGAATAAAATAGGAATTTTGAATGATTTTCTTCTTTTTTCTCAATCATTAATCAAAATATTTTTATCATTTAAAGACTGATTCAATAAAAGTAAAGCGTTTCTCTATTTTAGCGCTCCATTAAGTTTTCAAAATTAAAATCATAAGCACTTTAGGCTATTTTCATCAATTAATTTCTATACATAAGTCATTTCGTTTGCAACCCTTATATTAATATAATTCATAACTTATATAACTTGATGAGTAGAAAAGTTATTGCAATTTTCTTATGTCGTTAACACATATGAAATGTTATCACAAATTTTTCCATTCAAACATTTAATTATAAAATTAATATTTGAAAATTAGCTCATACTCTAACTTGGTTATAATGTTAGTTTGCTAATCTTAGAGCATAAAATGTTATTAAACTTAACATTAACTCATAATATCTGTGTTCTGAGTTAAAAGTTTAAAAATAAAGTTTCCTGAGACTCATGTGTCCTCTCATTGAGGCTCATACTGTAGACAAACTTAAGACAAAAGTATTTTTAGTTGTTTTTACGAATAATTACACAAAAATTACACGAATTAACAGCATTTAAAGTCTATTATTATAGAAATAGTTTTAATTTGTATCGAAATTTGTTTACTTCGATCGCATGAATAGCTTAAAGAATGTGTCAGATCGACGCCGAAAGACAGGTATGTTATGTAAGTACGGGAGTAAAGGTATGTTAACTTTTTTAAATGTCTATTAATTGGTGACTATCGATAAACCGGTAAAAGGGAAGTATAACTGCGCTGTCGACAAACCGTGAATTATATGATTAAATGCATATGTTTTTAGTTTTCGACTAAATATTAAATATAGAAATCGTTATACTTTACTGTATTTCAATCGATAATAATATACAAAAGCTAAACAAGAATCTGATATAGAAATCTATTATATCACAAACAGATAGTAATTAACTTTTAATTTTATCATATTTTCTCTTAAATTTCGAAATATTATGATATCGTTTGAAATGTTTGTTAAGTAATAGTTTTGATATAACTTTGTTAGTGAACAAACAAGTGAGACGAATATCTATGTTTGTTCAGAAGGTTTGTATAATAAAAGTTCAAACAAATCAGAAATATTGTAATTATTGCAAAAAAACTCAATTTTGACATTATTTCTAGACTCATATATTTGCATAAATTGTATGCCTATTGCATAGTAAACACAATATAAACTTATAATTTAAATTTTCAGTTCAGTCTACAAGTTATTATTAAATCCGTTTGAATGCAAACCTGATTTGGAAAATATAGTGCTGAGGAAAATATATCTAAAATGTGATTATTATTATAATATCTATATTATCGGTGAATAGAGTCGTTCAATCAAAAGGAGAGCAAAATATTTAGATAGACATCAATAACATTGAA